ATATAGTATGGTATAGCAATAGTAGCCCATTCTCAAGAGCAAAGAAGCAAACATGCAACTAGCATGAAGTCTTTCTAGGCTGGTACCTACAAATCAAAAGGTGCCAGCTAATCTGCAGCTCGTTTGCATTCACTGTGACAATCGGTAGCCTGTCACACCGCCGCGCTATGAGCCAGCTGAAGCCTACAACTTGTATTTTGATTGCTCTGCTGTATTGATGCAGGTCTAATAAAATACCTTCTCTCCATTTGCAGTGCAGTTGTTACGTGGGGCCTGCTCCGACGCCTTGTTCCCGCTATCAAATGTTTTACGCTACGTTGGTGCTTCTGGGCAACCAGTCAAGGATCTGGTATGTACTCATTCATATTAAATATTCTGTCTTTTTATAGCGAGTGAAGAGGGCTGTGATAAATGAAGCCCATGTTTTGTGATGACGACAGTAAGGTTGCACAAGGCATAGATCACTGACAGTGAATTTAATTATTTGTAATTAAAAGGGAATGAACTTCCAGTATTTCGGGCTAAAACATGTTCTGCGTTAGCGATCCTAAACAGCCTCTTGAATGCAGAACTCGGCGTTTGCACATGGACAGAACTGATCCGTGTATGTGACATTTGACATGAAGTTCCAGATTCAATCGCCTGAGGCGTGATGAAATGCAAGTGCATTTAGAAGAAGCAACTCTAACGTGCAGTCAGCCCGCTTGCATCCTCGTGCGGCTTGGGATAGTCTAGGCCAAATTTGGTGGCCACCTTCACTTTTAAGAAGTGAGCTCTGTACCCAGCTTCCCTGCGATAGGTAAGCGCCGAGCAACTCCTTTCTAGAAAAAAGTACCCACAAAGCACCTGTTACACCCACAGTAGCTGGTAGTGACACAAGGGAGTAGTTGGGGAAATTGCCCACGTGGAAACAGGAGCTTTGATTTCTCATAAGAAGCTTGAGACTTTCTGTGGACAAAGCATTCCCACATCTGCTCCTCTCCTAGGGCAGGACTTGGGGTTTACTGCCTTTTATGGGGAAGGTGTAATTTCCTTCATTTTTTTATGTGACAGATGGGAGTATAACTCGTGCAAAAATCATGAACCTGTGTTTGAAGAAATGAAAGAAATAGATACACTTAGTTCTCTCTCTGCTTCGGGAAGGTGAGGAGAGTGAAGTAGCATTTTTAAATTTCTGTAATGAATAGAACTAAAAGTACAGACACGTTTCAAGACTGGAAGCGTATGAAACGTGCTAAGCATCATGCACTGATGCTTCAGAATCCCTGTGTATACTGCATTAAAGGTGAAATACTTCGAACTGCAACAGAACCGTGATGACTTGGGATAGCGAACAGGCATTAACAATCAATATCCAATATAAAATACAAAGAATGTGATGTAGTTGTGAAGTCTCAATATCTTGTGTGTGGCTTATAAGGCTCTAACATGCCATTGAACTCCACAGTGAATACTCCAGTTTCTTACTGATTGAAATAAATTTACAAAGTCATGATCCAAATTGAATCTGGCTTACTTTCCCCCGACACACACTTTGCCCTTATGCCGTTGCTCCTTGTACCTTTGTGTTACTATAGTTGTAAAACACAATCTGCTCAGCACTGGTACCGTTGGGTCAGTAGGCCTTGATAAATTTCTGTTTCTGTTCCTTTACACCAATGAGAATGTCAAGACAGCTCAGCATGGCTAAGTTAGCGTTTGTATACATTTGTCATTTTAATAAACTTACTGGAAAAAAAATCAGACCTTACCTATTTATATTAAAACTTATTTTTCGAGTTCAGTATATTTTCTAAACAACAGATGTTTGCCTTAATAATTTGTCTTGCTATTTTTGAAGAAAAAGGCAATTAATTTAATACCACGGACTCTCATCTCATAGAATCACAGAATGGTTTGGGTTGGAAGGGACCTTTAAGGGTCATCTAGTCCAGCCCCCCTGCAATGAGCTGGGGCATCTTCCACCAGATCAGGTTGCTCAGAGCCCCATCCAGCCTGACCTTGAATGTTTCTGGGGATGGGGCATCTGCCACCTCTCTGGGCAACCTGTTCCAGTGTTTCACCACGCTCGTTGTACAAAATTTCTTCCTTGTACTCTGAATCTACCCTCTTTTAGTTTAAAACCGTTACCCCTTGTCCTCTTGTTACAGGCCCCGTTGAAAAAAGCCTGTCTCCATCTTTCTTATAAGCTCCCTTTAAGTACTGACAGGCCGCAATAAAGTCTCCCCGGAGCCTTCTCTTCCCCAGGCTGAACAACCCCAGCTCTCTCAGCCTTTCCTCACAGGAGAGGTGTTCCAGCCCTCTGATCATTTTTGGGGCCTCCTCCGGACCCGCTCCAACAGGCCCATGTCCTTCCCGTGCTGAGGGCCCCAGAGCTGTTCGCAGTACTGCAGGTGGGGCCTCACCAGCGCGGAGCAGAGGGGCAGAATCACCTCCCTCCCTCGCCCTGCGGGCCACATCTCTTCCTCTTCTCTAAGACACCTTCCTTTCCTATTAGCTTTTATTCCCGATTTTTATTTTCTTTTTTGGTTCACTGAGGTTCTACAGATGTCTCTTGGAGGGAGGTCATCTAGATCAGTGACGCAGGACAGAACATCTTCCAAACGCTGTCTCCGATTATCAGTGTTCGTTTAGGCCAGGAACCATTCCATGTTAATGCACTTTCATCTCCATAAACAACTCTTCAGGAAACAAGGTAACAGAAAAGGAGCTCATTTTATGCAGCCATTTATGTACATTTATAATTACAAAAGACTGTCACAAATATGTTAGATTTTTTCCTTTTCCTGCGAGAGCCTAGAAATGTGATTAGTTTATTGCCACCTGAAGAGAAGCTCAGTCTCTTAAAGACCTTGCTACAAAATTTTCTTGTACGAATCCAACAGATAACGAGCAGACGCCATTAATGGATCGTGTAAAAGACGCAAATGTGTATCCAGGAGGAGAGAAGAGAATTTTACTTCCTTAATTATTTGCAATTAATGATTCTTATTGACTTGTGATTGCCTGTGGGCTTAAGGGGGTGGATGAAAAAGGTGCTAATTCTTGTATAATTCTAAACAGCTGCTCGAGCAAGGTATTTGTTTGTGTCCGCACCTCAAATTATACCTATGTCTGATGTACTTGCACAAATTGCTACCGAAATGTAAAGATCAAGACATCCAACAGACCACACATTTGTAAGTTATTTGAAATGTGTTTGAAGTCACAAGCCTAAGCAGAGTTAGATGACGGAGCCCCAAAAGGGAAAAGAATTCTCTTTATTGTCAAATAGCTTAATAATTTCGGCTGGAAAGCTACTGGTTAAAAGTGTGTTTTGGGACCAGTATGATTTACGGCGCTGCAATATACTGCACTGGCAACAAGTGGCTCATGGGGGTACAGCTCTCCTCCCAAATCAAAATGAGCTGTACGAATGTCATTTTACCGGTATAAACACAGCTCTACTGGTGACTTTTGCCACCGTAACGTGCATCGCAACTTGAGGCGAAATCACGCTGCTCTGTTGCTTGAGGTTCAGAAGCCTGCACAGAACCAAGGCCGTAGCGCTGACAGTGAGAAGTTACTGTGCAGAAAACGCTAACGGCCCACGTACTGGCTGAAGAGTGGGGAAAAAAACCCTTGGCTTCGTTTTGTGAGGAGCGTGCTGTACTCTTGTTCTCCTACGCTGACTTTGGATTTCACAGCATTGCAGGTACGTACCCAGCAGCAGGCTGGGACCTGGAGGCAGTTTTGCCAGCATGCAAAACTCCTAGAGAATCTCAACAACAAAGGAGCTAAATCATGTAAAGAACAAGAACGTCCTAAAGGAAGAGCCCAGCGGGGATCCCTACTGGTTCGTTAATCACTGAGATTGGCCTGGCAGGCGAGGCAGGGAGTAACAGCGTTTGAGGCTGAGTTTGTAGCCAGAGCACGCTGTGGTGTTTGCGTGATCCTTCTGTCCGCAGCTGCAGAGTGCAGACTTGGCGCCAGCTGCAATTCCAGAAGGAGCTGGCGCTAATGGGATCCACTACTGCCTCTGGCGGCTGAAGAAGCATCTTCTCCAAAGGTGCCAAGCAACGGGCACCTCTTGTTCCCTGGCCACATCCCCACTTTGGGCTGATGAAAACTTCACTCTCGAGTAGAAGGATAAAGATTTCATTCCTTGTGCGGTAAGTATATGCAATATTGATTCTGAATGTATTGCCTAAAAACTTGAATATAAAATAAATCTAGAACCAAAGGCAAAGTTTGATGGACCAGGATAAACATTTTGGATCTAAAACCAGCCCCATTTTACACTGATACAGAATTTTTTCCCTGACTGTGAACACAAAGATGATACCAGTTAATACCAGACAATTTATAACATAGGAATGACTACAGAATTGCCTATACTGGATTTATTGAACAATAACTGTTTACCCGATTTTGGAATTTCACAATACTTAATCAGAGTATGTGGACTGCTAGCATGCATGCTAGTTCTAATTTAGTGACACTTCATAATTATTCACAGTAATGAAAAAAAGTAAACTCTGCAAACATTCCAACCATGCAAGAACTCATATCTTAGCTGAACAGACAGCAGCTTCTCTAAATGAAACGTCATATTTTAAATGTTTTACTTTATTAATAATAAATTAATCTGTGGCATCACTGATCAACAAAACACTAAAGATATAGTGTGCAGATTGTCTATGTGCTGATCCAAAAGGCAACATCATTGCTGCCTTCATAAAAATTGGAGAAATGCTAATGAACTTATATATCATTTTCAACCCTGTGAACAACACTGAGCAGAAGAAATGTGCCTCCAGGTTTCCCCAATTTTTCTGTTAGATAAGGCAATAATAAAAAGTGTAGCATCACAACAATCTACTTAAAACCCTAGATACTGAGTCCTGACTTAACACAGTGCTAAAGAGGAATGTGCAAAAATAAACACTTGGATTTGCACTTTGATTCTTCATTGTGTAGAATTAAAAAACAACAAAAACCAAACCAAACACCAACTGTTCCAGATTCCACTGTCAGGAAAAACAAAAGACAAGCTTCTGGGACAAAGCTGTTCTTTCAGCCCGTGGCACTATTTGGAATATCTTGAGCATCTGCTAAATGTAGTTTTTGGCTGAAGCAAACCATTAAGGAATAACATTTTCACACATAGGTAAGGTATAAACAAGATAGCAGTGTTACATGAAACTAGGCTTAGTCCTGTGACAGATATGCACCAGTCCAGATGAATTCAGTTCTGTTAAGTCCTATGCTAGTTCCCAACCAGTACATTGATCTTCCTCAATGAGACTTAGGCATTACATACCTCCAGAATTCGCTGGCAGATTATTTTTATCACTGTTGTGTGATATTATCACATTCCACTTGTGTTCTTTATGAGACCTAGCCTTAACCAGCTTTCCACAGACACAGGGAACCTATATACTGGTGCAGTACCTTAAGTCCCAAACCGGAGTCCCACCTTCCTCGATGCACACAAAGTGCGTAACACCAGACATAACTAGACTGCAATATAAACTGAAGGCAACACTCCTCAACTGTGTTCTTAGCTTATCAGAAGCGTGATGTAAAAGACAAGCTAAGACATTCGGCTTTATCTTCTTCTGGGTGGGCTAAGAGCACACATCTGTTCAGTCACCAAAGCTCTGCTGAAGTATTTGACTCAACCACAGTCTGACCCTAGAAATAAAAAGTTAGGTCAGTCCACTCTTCACAGTAAAATCAGTGATAAACAGCTGCATACATTTCTAGAGAAAACTAAAAGGTAATAGGATTCACTTAGCAATGGGACAGAACATTTCTGAGTACCGTAGAAGGAATATTGTCGTGTATGTTTGTTCCCGAGTGTCTCAGCAAGAAGCATGTAGAAGGACCCTGCTTCTGACAGGCCTTGCCATCTACTGTCAACACGTTGTCTAAAGTGCTACACGCTAGCTAAATAAATCATCGTATGCAAAAACAGCCTGTAATTGAAAGTGTTGAGATCCAGTCATTTATGTACTGGAAGAACCTAAAAGCCATGCTGTATTACAGTACTGCAATTTAAAAGGACGGACATTATTGAAGCCATTTGACTCCTGTAAAGACACCAGTTACTGGGGAAATACACTGTAATTTGGTTACAGTTAACAATAATTATAATGCAAAATAGACATTTAAGGAAAAGGATACATAGATGAATTCAGTTCTTCTAGCTGCAATATAAATGTAGAAAGTATCAGAAATGGCATGTCAAGTCAGTCAAATGCAACAATTATGGTGGTATGATGAAATAAACACATTAAAACAACAAAGGAAATCACTAATAGTTTGGGCTGAAATGTATGATTTTATTACAAAAAGCAAAGCAAACCTGCACTGAATTCTACACCAGAGGCAAGTCCCAAATTAAGTTTAAATCTGCTGATCTCGGGAAATTAATGAAGTTTTAACAGGTTTGGTTTTTATAGAAATACACTAGAGAAAGGAGAAACTGAAAGTATAGAATATACAGATCTAAATTCCTTGTTATGTGTGGTCTTCCCCAGATGCAGGAGGACGGACCACAGGGAACATGGTCGTAGTTCCCTGGAACGTCAGCTGTCTCTAAACAGGCCTACATCCTCAGACAGTTTCCAGCTAGACTGCTCTACTCACCAGAACAAGCAGCAGCCTACAAAAAAAGAAAAGGTACTGTGTTTTCTCAAAACCAAGATGAGGGTAGGGCTCATGTCTTGGTTCATTACAGAACTATGCTCTCCTCAACTGTAAATCACTGCCCACCCAGTAGCGCTGTTTTCCTAGGCCGAGTTCTGTGGGCAAAGTTCCGTGTGTTCTGCCTTCCCAGTACTTACATCTGATAGCAGCCTATCCAGATTGGAGTCACTGGCTAGTTTTCTTTTATCTTCAGGGAGTTCTTCCAGCTCCCCATAGAGCTCCAAATTGAGGCGAGCAAGTTTCTCCTGCATACTCCGCACATGCTCCATCTGCTCTATGGAACATTCATTTCCTAAAGGACAAGCTACAGCTTTATCTAAAGAAACCTGAGAAGGCACACAAAGGTGCGAAGATGCAGCTTTTTACATCAGAGAAGAGGAGCTTAAACATCAAATTTACAACTTCATTTGCTTTCTCAATGATTTCTCCCTGTTTCACTACTGAAGCTTCTGTCATCCTGTCTGGTGTTGTGTTGTACTGAACGTACGATAACTACCCCAGGTACTCACTGGTTTTTAGAACAGTGTTTTTTCTATACTCCTGAATTTCTCTCAGATTTAGGAAAGCCCTGGTTTTTAACTTTAAATATGACCACAATAAACCTTTCTAATTTTGATTAATCTTGGGGGCTTCTTTCTTCTAATTGATGCTTTATATAATACAGACTTTTCAGGTTCTCTTGTAAAAATCGGTGTGGAATTTAATGTGACATGCTAAACTTACAAAAGCACATACGCATCTTTCTACTCATGCAGCAAAAAAAAGGAAGCAGAAGTGTCATGGTTTTTCTGAAACCTCCATCAGCTGTGAAGTAGTAAGAAGAGTAAGATGCCTAAGACAGAAGAGTAAGCTGGGTAAAATGCAACTTGCATTGGATTCCATAAAAGTTGTTAACAATAGTCTAAAGTGTTAATATGCAGCAAAATCAGGTGCTAAATACAGTTACTTCTTATTATTCCTACACTATCATAAATAAGTGGCTTTAAACTTGCTATCTTAAACCTATAAGCCAAGGTACTGCCTTTGGTAAGCCATGCTGGAAGAAACAATGAAATGGCATTTGAATAATTTCACAGCAAAGACAACCTTACAATAGGACTGTAAGTTAAAAATGCAGTAAGATCTATTAATTATGCTAAACTTCATTTCTATACGGCAGAGTCCAACATGACAAACTGGCAGTCTGTCCATACAGCACGCTCGTTTGCAAATGTTACCATTGTATAGGTATAAAACAACTATGGTATACAGACAATTCATGCACTTACCAAATGCTTGAAGTTTGCCAGAGTGGAAGTCATTCAGGAGACTCAGAAGTCCCCTTTCCATTTCCTGGACATCTGATACATCTGTGAGAAAAGAATGCTGGATTGGTGCTGCCTGTGCCCCTTTTGCTTCGCCTCCTGGAGGTTTGGCTTTCTCTTTTATTACACTGAAAAAAAAAAAAAAGTAATTAAACAAAAAGATTACTTCCTGCTTTCACCTTCACTGAGAATCTGAAATGTAGGGCTCTGAAAATGAAATGGAAAATATATACTCCATATTTCAATCACTCTTTTTAAGTCAAAAAATGGGTCACTAGTTTGTCTTAAGAATAAAGAACAACATCGCTATCTTGACAGTTTGATACTGCAAAATGAAGGATTCCAACAATCTCCTTTCCTATTAATGGTGGGAAACATCAGTGGAGCACATGTATGTAATGGCCATCTTAATAATCTAAAGATGACCATTACCCAACAATGACACGTGATGCATGGGGCATTATCTACATAAAATCACCCAAAAAGCATCTGCAAACTCTCTTTAAGCCAGAGAGAAAAGCCCTCAGCAATCATATGCTCCTGTTGTTGCAAACACCTAGAGGCTGCAAAGTGTGGAAATCAACTCGTTATAACCTATACAGGAAGGTGACCTTGCGTCCAGATATATCTTCCTAGAGCTCCTTCTTCCCACCTTCGAATAACATGCCAATTTTGTAAAACTCGCCATCAAAAGCAATCTCCCAGTCCTCTGGCACATACCAAATGGAACTAGTCCATGCCTGAACCAATGTTAAATGTGCTAAAAATTCTCTACAGCCCCCTTCGCAACAGAACCATCAAAATCCCTGGATCCATACATTTTTCTCTAGACATAAAATTTATTCAGAGCACCATGTGCCCATAGAAACTCCATGAATGAAAATGAATAACCATTATAAATCCAAATGAACATGCAATCACCATGGAAGCTAAACACTCAATTACCAGTAAGAAATAGCATGTTCCATCTCTGACCCAGAGACAGACAGACAGACTGCATCCTAACCTAATACGATTCAGGTAAGGGGCTGTTCTCACCCCTGATTTGCCCATCCATGTGTGCACACAGCCTTCCTCTCACGTTGGCCCGGTGGCTTCTGCAGCCTCCTGGTGAGCCTGTTCAGAACCTGATTTTGAAAAATCCTGAAATCTGAAAAATGTTGAGCCTAAAACTTAAAATTCAGGATACTATGGGATGTTAAAAAAATTACAGGCTTAGTAAAGAGGCTTTATTTAATTAGTGAAGATAAGAGGGTTTACAGCATAGTAAGCTCTACCCTTCCCTTGAATACTCCCATGCTCTGCAAGTCATAAATTGTCTCTTTCCTGTGGGAAATAATAATTCTTTTTCCAGCCTAACAGCTTCTGTAGTCTATATAGACTACATAGTCTATATGTTGGAACAACTAACAGTCCAACAGTTATCGTATCTGGTTCAACTCAGAGCAACACGTCTCAACTGAGGTTTAACTCTGGCTATTTCTGCTTCCATTTCAGACTTAAAGAAAGGTTTGTATGCCAGAAAGGTCATTGATTTTTTCCACCTGTATCTGAAGTTTAATACAATATATTACCGCTCCTGGAAAACTTATTTCATTAGATTCTTGCAGATGATGTGAAAATTAATTAAATACTCCTACTCCGCTATCATAACGGCCGTTCATCGTCGCATTCTTATGTCAATTGCTGCTCCTGCTTGGAGAGTTTGAGAAATTGTATTATCACTGCTTGGTAAGCTTCACTTAACAATTAAGCAAGAATGTCCTTTTCCAAAACTTAAAGCAAAAAGGACATTTTCTCCTCTAGCCAATATTGTGGGCTACAAGAAATGAATTTCTAGTAGATTCCAGAATAGTGTTGAGTCTTAATAAATGGTACAGTCAGCTGCAGGCACCACCAGTTTATAGCACATTAGTATTTGTTATTATTTCCCTCAAATTACTAGCATATTTTCCCTGAAAAAAAAAAAAAGTAAAAAAAAAAAAAAAACTTTACATTGCAGAAATGCATTATGTTTCCATCAGGCCAATACTGGGTCCTTTAGACAAACTATTTGTGCCAAAGAGGACAGTTCAGTATTTAATCTTCAGCTAATGCTTACAGATCAATAAACGCCGCTGCCTCTCTCCAGCTAACATTTCACTTTAAAAACCCTCTTCACTCATTTATCTATCTACTGTATCTGCCACAGCCAAGAAATGTATTTTCTAACATGCAGGAAAATTAACATTCTCAAACTGAAATAGATGCATCATCGGTAACACACAAACTACTCCAAAATGGTACTTTCTGAAGAGCTGAATGCCTCTCTCTGTGCATGAGTATGGCCTGGGAGCTGCTGCTGCCCCCACCGATGGGTCCCCAAATAAAAAACACACGGAAATTCCAGTTCTAGCTCATCCTGTTCAATTTACGTCCTTCATTTCCTGCCCTGCTTGTGAGTTCCAACCTTGCAGTCATGTAATATTTTATTTGTTCCTCACAGCTGTACATCTGGGGCTCTGCTAGCTCCCATACGATGCCCGCATTTGCCATATTTGATCACCCAACTCTTGTCTTTCACCAGCCACATCAGGCTATCATCTCTTCAGCTAAATTGTTACCACTGTGAGTCCACAGCATTGTGTAACATCTTACAAAGCTTACGAGAGTAGTATCGAGCATCTTTTTCTGTAAAATAACCATTATATTGCATTAAACACAAATTGCTTTGCTAAAACGAACATGTCATCAAAAATTTTCACGAGTCTGAAGCTCGCTCTTTTCATTCTGTCCCAGCCAGGCTCAACACCCTTTAGACTGTCTGAGCATTGGCAGGTTTCTGGCTCTCACTTCCACTGAGCCTGATGCATTCCGCTGATGCTCCCAAGCTTACCGTTTTAACTTTGGTTTCTGTACTGCAGGCTGTGGTGCGGGATTTGAAAAGGCTGTACTTTTGCTGACTGGCACGGAGTTTTTCTTGGAGTTAGTAACCTGGGCAGGGTGACTGGTAGATGATTTGGGGCTCCTCCTCTTGATTTTCCTTTCTTCCATCTCTTCCCATTTACTGCACCTAGACTAATTTCTTGTCCTCCAAAGGGAAGAAAAAAAAAGTAAGAAACACCCATTAAAACTGGCATTTATAATAAAAGGAAGGGAAAAAACAGGTCACAGCGCATGGAAATACAGCTTTATAGTTTCTTCAAAGATGAGCAGTTACTCATTTCCTCAAACAAGAGAATCCAGTTTTCAGGAGAAGCCGCCCAGGCCTGCCTCATCAGCAAAACAAGCAGGAATTAAAATCATCCGCATCAGCTTCAGCCGACGGGTACCTCAGAATGATGTCAAGCTTTGTGTCCCATGGGTTATTGCTAGAAAACACCGGGATGAGTCAAGTCCGCACCAATCAAAATTGACCGAGAAACGATGGTGGCATGAGGATGCTGCGATTCATCCTTGCCAAACAATCTCTTCTAAAGGGAGAGGCTTTGTCAAAACTCAGTTGATGCCGAGTTATTCCTGCTATTATACATGCTATTGAGGGGTGCTACCCAATAATATATATGCTATCCTGCTGCTGTTATATATGCTATTACCGGGTGCTGCCTAAGGACGTCCCCGCCTGGGGAAACGCCTCCTCTGAAAGCCTCCGTCCCAGGGCACACCGATGTAAACCCCAGGGCGCCATCGCTGACCCACCGAGGGCCGCTTCCCCGCCGCTGCCCGCTCCGGGCCCACCGCCCGGAGTAACGACCCCCGCCCTCAGGCACAGACAGCCCCTACTGTATGTCGTCACTTGATTAGCACGGAGACTTGTGACGCTTCCTCCCGGAGTACCACCGCCCTCCCCCCAGCCCCCCACCAACCGCCGCCCTCTCCCCCCG